TGATTAGACATGCATGGAAGATGTTTCTTGTGTGTTTCATTGTACCAGTCAAAGTTTCAGCTGCTGCAATTTCAGCAAAGGAATGACCAGGTTAATGTTTTTGGAGCAGGTTAACATTTTCGTAGCAGTTTTTTGGTGTAGGTCTCATTTCCGAGTAACTGTAAGCCCTATGTTGACCAAACTTGCATGGATATTACATCTTAGGATGCACACTACCAGACTTGCTTCGGATGCTGAATCTGACCTACATTTTCCGGTTGAGTGAACAGGTTTATGTTTAGGTGCAGGTCTCATTTCCAAGTAACTATGAGCACTATAGCGAAGGATGCATACTACCAGACTTGCTTCGGATGCTGAATCTGACCTCCATTTTCCGGTTGAGTGAACAGGTTAAAGTATTTGGTGCAGGTTTAATTACCAAGTTACTATGAGCCCTATAATGACCAAACTTGCATGGATGGTACATCTTAGGATGCATACTACCAGACTTGCTTCGGATGCTGAATCTGACCTCCATTTTCCGGTTGAGTGAACAGGTTAAAGTATTTGGTGCAGGTTTCATTTCCAAGTTACTATGAGCCCTATAATGACCAAACTTGCATGGATGGTACATCTAAGGGTGCATTCTACGAGGCTGGCTTCGGATGCTGAATCTGACCTACATTTTCTGGATTCGTGGAAAGGTTAGTTTTTATACAGGTTTCATTTCCAAGTAACTTTGAGCTCTATGTTGAGCAAACTTTCATGGATGATACATCTTTGGATGCACATTAATGGACTTGCTTCAGATGCTGAATTCGACACACATTTTCCAGATAATGGACCTTGTAAAAGTTATGGGTGCAGGTCTATTACCAAGAAACTTTAAGAATTATATAAACCAAACTTGCACAAATGATGCATCGAGGGATGAAAACTCTCAAACTTGCTTCAGATGCTGGATTTTAATTACGTTTACATGATGAAGAACTAGTTTGAAGTTTTTATATAGTTCTATTCCAAAATATCAAATCAAAATTGCATAAATTTTGCATTTTTTGGATGTACACTTTTTGTTGGTTAATTGTGTGACTTTGCCTTACTTAAAGACAACATTCGTTGAGGTGAGCTCTGTAATCTCTGATTACCTATGTTTTTAGCAGGTATCGTTTTAAAGTTTCAAACCCACTCTACCGCCGGGGGTCATAATTTGAACAAACTTGAATCTACACTACCCAAGGATGCTTCCATATAACTATGACCAATCACAACTTTGCTGTTCTCAAGAAGATTTTTCTATGTAATCCTACTTTGATGACCCATAATGGCCCCACCCTTGCCCCAGGGGTCATGATTTGAACAAACTTGATCGAATCTTCACTACCAGAGAGTGCTTCCATATAACTATGACCAATCATGGCTTTGCTGTTCTTGAGAAGAAGATTTTTCCAATATATTTCTATGTTTAACTTCAATACCCCACTGTGGCCCTATCCTACCCCCAGGGGGTCATGATTTGAATAAATTTTAATCTACACTACATGAAGATGCTTCCACCTAAGTTTCATCTTTCCTGGCTTATTGGTTCTTAAGAAGAAGATTTTTAAAAGATACCATTAATTTATTACTAATTCGTAATTATCTCGCCCTGGAAGAGGGTGTGGCCCTTCATTTGAAAAACTTGAATCCCCTTCACCCAAGGATACTTTGTGGCAAGTTCGGTTGAAATTGGCCCAGTGGTTCTTGAGAAGAAAATGAAAATGTGAAAATTTTATGACAATGACAACAACAACGACAACAGATAACAGATGTGATCAGAAAAGTTCACTTGAGCCTTAGGCTCAGGTGAGCTAAAAATTATAAGCCCTGGATGATGCATCAAAGGATGGACATTCTCAAACTTGCTCCTGCAATCTCTGTGGACCTATCATTTAGTTGCTTGAGAAGGTGAGCACTTGTGAAGCAGCTTGCTTTTTAACTAGTATGCAATGAAGCAAAATAAATACCTGTAGGTATAAAGCAAACCACTGTTATTAATATACAAGTAGTCATAAACAATATTTTCACTGGCCACCAAAGCGGCATTTCCTAATTAATTCTTGACTTCGCTTTTCAATGACTGCAACTCTCTTCTGCATTAAATAAGACGCCAGAGTGTGCATTTGTTGCATTTTCAGCCTCAGCTACTGAATAACTCAAAATCAGATGTAATCTACTATTCCAAACTTCTGGACTGGGCTACTTCAATGAGAATACAGACTGGAGAAGCAAAATTTGTAAAACAAGAAAGTAAAACTAACAACAACTACATAAGATCACATTCAATACTGGCTTTATTTAACTTCTAAGAAAATACATCTTTTTTCTGAAGAACAGTAACAAGGTATATCTCCGATATAACATCAAAAACAGAACAATTCCATTTCTTAAGGCAAAATATTCATCAGTAAGGTCCCATAACTCTTCAGGCATCATTACCTAAAAATATTCTAATGCTGTTTAAAAAACTTTTCCTTCATAAAGTTGGAAACTTGGGAAAAAGCTGAGTGTGAACTTATTTTGAAGATGATTTGAATATTATGGTAGGAGTGATGGGACCTTGCTGATGGATAATCTACCTTGATCAAATTCTGGAAATAAATAAATTTAATATTTCAGGGAGACCCAAGACAGCACTATTAAATGTTCATAATACAGAAAATTCAGAAATCTGCTAAACAGTGATTGCTTTTCTTGTAAGTTTTTATAATTATTTGTGTCATCGAATTTTTAACCCTCTGTTGTTAATGGCTAACTTTAAGCCAGTTTACCTACTTAAAACCAAGCAATACAATTCTGGTTCCAAAACTGTATTAAAGGGAACATGCTTCCTAACTAAACAAAGTAAAAATACAAAGGGAAAGAGCAAGGATTTCATTTTTGAACGGGGTATTTGGATATTAATAGCTGTGATATGAAGTCTGTATAAAATATGAAAAAGTATGATAAATCTATATTAACAAGCACCTTGCATTATATATATCATCGATTTTCGTCTAACAAAAATAAAAATTCATATTTTTCCCCAACAGAAAATTACCTCTTAAATTTAATCTGAAAATCATCAGATGAATAAAAGTAGATAAAAGTAGAGGAAATTGAAATCACTTAATACTAAAGGGAGAGAAAGAGAAAATATTAGAGTGCCAGTTCTCTGTTCAATCTAATGAAATAAGCATTAACAAATCTCCTTTACATGTAAGTTTTACACCCCATTCCTTCTGATTAATTATTGAATTAAAGTAAACCTAGTGTCTGGAATTTTAAGATAACATCAAGAGTATTGAAAAAAAAAAACCAAGAACAATATTATTTTTTTTCTAAAAACAAAGTATACTTAAATAATAATAATGATAATTTAAACCCCCAGGGTTGAAAATTACAGATGTCACAGAATTATAAAAAAAAAACCCCAAAATTTTAAGAAATTTGAAATCTATTTAAAATGCTGCTGCTAAAGTGAATATTAAAATTAAAATAAATTGGACAATAGAACTCTTCATCTTAAGAATAAATTTTGAAATTCTCCCAATTACAATGTGTATCCTCTTTGTTATATGGATTGTATTTAGTTAATTTGAAAAGTCTGTTAGAACTGATAAAATTATAGAAGTACTAAAATATTAAATGTCTACAATAAAATAAACAGAAAAAAGTTGCACATTTCAGGTAACAGACTAAAGATAAGACTTTAATAAGTGAAGAGTTAGTCAGAAGTTATTGTTGAAGTTCTAGTGACCATTAGATCTAAACAGACAAACATTAATAAACCATGTCCAGAACAAGATAGAAACCAAAGGCATGTTCATATCAGTCACTAGAAGTTTTAGGTTTAAATTCAAGATTTTCAGAAGTTCTTACTTTTGAGATATGTCATACATGAAAAGGTTGACTCCGTTGAAGAAATATTTAGAATTTAGGATTTCCATCATTATAAAATCCTCCAATAAAGTATATATAATATGTATAATATATATATATAATCTTGTTCAAAATGTATAAAACAAAAATAATGTTTACTAATGAAAGATGAAGCCTGTGTGAATTGTGAATGGAATGATATTATCTGGGTATATCTATCACTGTAAACCAGGAATGTCTCTACACGTCTAACAACTACAGTGGTGTGAAAATGATATTGTGACGGCATGATTCAAATCTTTTTCTTTTCTGTTCTCTTTTTTTACATTTTTTTTTTCTATTATTTATATTTTTTTTCATTTTTTCTTTTATTTTGATTTTTTTTGTCTTTTAAATTTGTTTTAACCTTTTTTTGTTTTTTTTTTTTTTAGCTTAAAATTAACTCATGTAAACCATTCATTTTATAAATCTTTTTTTTTCTTTTTTTCCCTTTTTAATTTTTTTTTTAAATTTTCACTTTTTGATTTTTTTTTTACATATAAATTTTTAATTTTTACATTTTTTTTGGTTGTTTTCCTATTTTGTATTTTTTTTCCATTTTATTTTTTTCCATTTCATTTTTTTTTTTTTTGATTTTTTTTTTTTTTTTTTTTATAATTTAACTTAGAATTATTTTATGCTATGCATGTCTGTTCAGCACATGCAGGTTTGAATATATTCTGGTTCCAGTTGGTTGGTTACTAAGAGATGCCATACAGCATCCTTATCCCCAACAACTCAAACCAAAGTCAGATTGGCAATATAGGATTAAATATAACTATTAAAGATAAATATATATAAATAAGCTATGTACAATTCTAGTCCTTGGTTTACAGTGATAGATGTGCATCTATTGTTTTCTCTTACTACATGAGCTCTGAAGTCTGATTAATGAATTCATGTTACAATTAAAAAATAAAAAATATGGTACAAAAAAATCATATCCCTTCATAACCAACCTGGTCATTTTCAGTTTTCTTCAGGCAATAACAGTTGTAAATCATTATATCCATATACTGAGTATACGAAAAAATAATTTGCTAAATTTTAACGCTACCCGTGAAAAAGTTTGTGTACAGTTATGAAACAATTAAGAAGAAAACCCGAGAAAGTGATAACTTCATAAAATCAGGCTCTGATTCTTACAAAAAATACATTATACAAAAAATCTTAAAATGCACAGCTACAGAATTTCTTGAAATATAATGGCTCAATATATATGTAGTTACAAAGATGAAAACAAATTCAAATATCACAATTAAACTACAATAAAATAACCTGAGGTAACATGGGCACCTGAGAAAACTGAAAACAAGTGTAGGTCCCCATCTGGCTGAGCATTGTAATGTGTTATATCAAAGCCAAATCTTCTGTAATATGCTCGTACAAAGAAGAAAAAATAATCTGCAATAAAACAAAACAGTTCTACACTGCTGTCCAGATGAAGCTGAATTTGTTAAAACTAGTTATACACATTTTACACTCTATTTCTTTGCCTAAAAAATTTAAATAAATGGAATTATTTTCTAAAATAAGATAACAATTATATGCATAACACATCACAATGAAGAGCCCTGGCTATACAGATCTATGTAATACTTAACTTCTTAACCAATTTAAATGCACCGATTAAAAAAACACAAACCAACAAATGTACATGGCATACATATATAGGTACTTGGAAAACCCAACAATTCTGGAAAACAAGCAAGTCAGCAATGATCGCTGGCATTACACTAATTAATATACATAGCTATCACACCTCGTCAAATTACACAGCTCTAATTAATTCATACTTATATCTAGGAATATCCATTAACACTCTGTTTAAAAATCCATAACATCAACAATTTGTATGTACAGGGTTGATGCACATATATACAGTTTATCTATGGAAATAAAAAGAAATCCCACACATTTCTGTAACAATCATACAACCAATTATCATTTTGACTCTTTTTCTGTTGCCTTTCTTTAATTTGTTATCTTTTTTCTTTACTGCAGACCAAAATGAGTGAATTGAAAAATCTATCGCTGCTATTAGACTGAGTGATCCTGGCTGATAAAAGAAAAGTGTCCTTTGTTAAAGATAGGCCTCATGACAAAAATACATGTATATCACATGTAAGATATAGAATTCCACATTTTTTTTTTGCCCCTAAAAAAGTATTTCAGTTTAGAATGAGAATTAAAATTTACACAGAGTATCCAAACCATCATTTGTATCAGCCAGGGTCATTTGTAGAGAAGGAGACATATCATCTGCCATGGACGGACATCAGTGCAGAAATCTGCATGAGCAGATAGAGTTAAATATGACTAGTAAATTTGCATCATGATAATTGGTCCATATTCATCCAATCACAGAATACACAAAAAGTCATTCATAAGAAATTTCTAACAAATTTTGTTTTTCACTAAGCTGTCATATTCACTGAGTTCAAACTTTCTATCAAATAAACTGGGGGAAAAAATCATAATGGTTTGGATAAACAACAAAGAGGTGGGAATGAATGGACAACTGTTTGACCCTCATGTGAGAAACAACTGGGGATCCAAATGGTCAACACCAGCAAGCAGCAGTGAAGGACCAACAGTTATATGGTTAAAAAACTATGAAGGGGGAATCTGTCATATAGAAGTCAAAGGATTTGTTCAGGGAAATCCCCCTATATATTTTTGCTGCCTTCAGACTAGGGCCAATAACTACTATGGGAAATGGCAAAATATTGGAATGAAAGGATTGTGGGGGGAAATTATGTAGCCTGGTCTATCATCAATGAAACAAAGTTGCAGATTTGGCACAATGTTTAGCACTACTGATGCTAACAATTGGGGGTAAATACAGAAGATTTGTTACAAGTTCCAATATGGTTCGGTATGATGCAGGTAATTCCACATCTATTTGCATATAATTTGAATATGATTAAGTATGTAACAATTTCTCACCCTTTGTTGTAAAAGGGTATACTTTACAACAGAAATCTTAAAGAACTTGTAACAATTCTCTGCATGCATGTGCATACCTTGGGAAAAAACTTGGAAAACAAAAAATAAAATGTCTAACTACGATAGCTTTGAGATCTGGATAAGATTACGACAATTTTTTCCACCTTATACACACAGTTATAGCACACAGGTTACAATGTCTGTGTTCTATGCACATCACACATATGTCAAGATATACAGAAAAAAACTTTAAACAAGAAAGAATTAAAAAATCAAACAACAAAAATTTTACACAAATCTAACTTTGCATAATTATACTAAAAATATACCATGAACTGCATCTGCTCTCTAATCTTAATCTGTGAAAGCTTCTTTAATTACAAGATATATCACATGCTTGTCAAGAAAAAAAAACCTTAACACTATTTAAGAGTTATTTCCCTTCCATTTTCAACGTCAAGAGTCCGCCTCCAACATTTCCAGGAAAAGCTTGTGCATCATGATCCTTCCATCTTTCTTCACATCAAACCAGTACTGCTTGGCAAGCAATTTCATGTGATTTAGAGCTGGGAGAAGCATGTATAGATGTCCTAATCGGCGGAGATTACCCACGTAGCGGTATTTGACATATTCAATCAGGGAATCTTGTAATTTGTCTTGGAGCTGTCTCACTGCTTCGCTATTCTCGATTGCCACATCTAAAATGATTTTTTTTCATATATAATATGTTTGCCACAGCATCATGGTTCTAAAATTATTTTTGAAACATTATTCACTGATATTGGTATCTGTTTTTATACCTACAGAAACCTAGTTATCTCAATCAATATAACCTAGCTGTTGGTGTGAATACAATGATCGAGTTACAAATAAAATTTTGTTAGTTAAATGATCCAATATACCTATATTGCATAAAGTCATGGCTTTCAGCAGGAGATATTCTTCCTTTGTGACCTCCATGTCGGTGAATTTTTTGGCAAGTTTCCGTGACAGCCCGTCAAGTTCTGGAGAGCAGTGACAGAGTTTACACTCATCGACAGAGAGTTGAAGATCCTCAGCAAATTTGAGGTAGCCATTGTAAGGACAAGAACGGAATACAAGATTTAAACATAGGATTTCCAACCATGAATGCTGCAAAAGGTTCATCTGGTCACTGAGGGATAGGGTGCAGAATCCTGCAAAAAATTTAGACAAAGTCAGAAAACATACGTCTTCTACAGGGTGCACAGTTTTGTCACACATTTTTAAGCTAAAATTCTCTCAATGGACACTATAAATATTTTCCCTAACATGATGATGTTTTCCCCCTCTTTTATTAAAAACACAACATATTAGCTTAACAAAAAAATTAAAACTGTCGTAAGGAACTTGACCTTTAGATCAGTTGGATGGTCACTTACCTGGGACCTGTTTAGCCCAGCTGATGGTGATCACCAGCTCTCTGTCAGCCAGATCAGATACAGTGGCAAGAAAGCGCACCTCCTCTCCCCCCTCCAGGATTTCTGACTCAGTATTGACGTACAGTTTGTCTAGCTGATGCTCGATGCTTATGAGTTGTGACAGAATTTTGTTATCTGAAGAAAAATCTACAGTACAAAAATAGTTGTAAATACAGGTATATGACCAAAATACAAAATTAAGGGGGATAAATTACCCTTAGTTTGATAAGATTTCAGGACATATGTTTGACTACATCATCATTGATGTATATTTTAATTGTGTCAGCTGGTACCTGACTTAGTGGTTTCTACACAGGCTTTCTTGATCATGGGAAAAATCTGCTGCACAATAGGGCCAGAGTCGATGGTGCGCTTGTACTTCTGTCTTCCTCCACGGACTCGATCCAGACGAACCCCTACAGAAAAATTTTATGAAAATTACATAATGCATTATTTTTCAAGCATTACTTATTTAACTTTACTTAAATTATGATGACACAGGGTTTTCATCATTGATTATCTTGGTAAATATTGCCATCTGTCTTTTCGATATTTTTTGTATAAAGCTGTACGTCACTGCCTCACACCAATCTTGCATTTTTAATGCTGTTTACTTTTTACATAAACTTACAATTTTTTAAAAACAGTTTCTAAAGGTACACTGTTACTTATTGTTGTTAGTTTTTTAAAATCACTGGGATCTGTTTATCTAGATTGAATTGTAATTTTTGGGTAACTTGTTCCTTTTGTTCTGTTTATTAATTATATGGGGTACGTGTTTGGTCTGAACAAAATAAAGCGATAACCCAGACCAATAGCAGTTGGGAATCCCTAGGTCAACATTTATCTGTGTGTTTACAACCTAATACTTTTCCATAGAATAAAACATGGCTTTCTCTACTAGCATTATATATACTTTTTTTTTTTTTCGTCTTCCCAATGAATGTAAATAAATATTTCTCTCTCTTCTGGCATTTTTCCCACCTTCGCCTCAAATACACAGATTGATTAGATTTTCTAGACATTGATTTCATTCCATTTTGAACCCTTCCATAGTTCATTCACTGCATGCTCTTTGGCAGTATTGGCAGTTTCACCAGAATAAACAAAATTTATGGCTTAAGGCAGTTTCTGCAAAAGATGTCTTGGAAAGCTAATTTGTATGTGGTATGATGTATCAATTATACTTGTAAATGCTAAAAATCAATTGCCTGACTTTTACAAAATAAACTCATTAATGCATACCGTATAAACTGTTCTTTTTGTCCAAATTAGGATGTCAGTGGGGGGAATTCACATAAACCAAAACCTGGGATTTCTATTATACATTTGATTAAATCTACATATCTTACATCAATGCACTACAAATTGTTTGCCACAAATAATTGATCACCCATTTTTTGCAGTATATCATGTTTCTCTCTCCCGCTTTGATATTTCCTTTTGTCATTATCTAATACTTAAATATTACTGAATTATCTGGTCACCAAACGGTCAGTTTCCTATCCTCACTGATTGTACTTGACTTTGATAAAGAGAGAGACTCAGTCACCTCCCCAGCACTTTCCCAATAAACATCAGTACCAGCTCTCCACAAAACACCTTATTCTTGTCATGCCTCTCTGGGGTTCAAGTGCACCATTTTTACAAAGTACAGGTGACATGATTACCTCATAGTAGGACATATAAGGTTTACACTGCCTTCCTGTCCACAGTCATCAATCAACGTTTTACTAATGTCTTTAGCCAATGCTCTCACGCCTCTCCTGATCTCCTCGACAGATGTCCATACCTTACTTCTGATCTTACAAACTAACACTAATTTGAATGAAAAAAAAAAAATTCCCTAAAATTTAAAATTTTATTTGATCGTTCAACCTTGCTCCCAATGTGATAAAAATTTTTTTTTTGGTTTTACTTTTCTTTTCCCTTTTGCTAATTTGGTTAGTTGATAAGAAATGATCACTGGGGATTAAACCCTTTTGTATCTTTTTGGGCCTTTTTTTTCTGTCAAGCCCCCCCATATTCCAAATATTGACTCTGTCACCAGTCAAAGCCCCCAATAATTAACCTTCCATCTCCGGTCTCTGATTTTATTCCTGTCTAACCCAATAGCATCACTGTGATTGTACACTCAGGTTGTCATCCTACATTTAAGGTTAAGATCTAAAAAACAAACACCATTCCACAAATAAACAAAAAAAAAAAGGGGTATCTGAATAATGTCCCATTAATGACAGGTACATTAATATTCTAATCTTAACTGAAGAGCAATTCTATAGAACATTTACAAAAGGACTTGGGGGACATTCTACAAAATACGGCTCAGCTAGTGCTAAAAGTTATAATATTAAATGCAAAAGCTCTTTTATGTAAAAATTAAACATTATGTCCAATAGCTGTGAGTTTATTCCCCCTTTTAAAGAGTTTGCTTGCAGTGACAACCATTCATCAATTAACACAAGCACCTTGTTAGCTTAGGGGGATATATACATATAAAATTAATGGGATTGTTTCCAGATCTGTTGTTTCTGTATCTTCACCCAAAATTCATGTCAAGGCTACACAACCCTTGGCTTTAAGGCAAATTACCACTGCACCCATGGACATTAGTTCATATCCCTATGGAAAAGGCCAAGAAGCTACATAATACATTAAGATATTGAAAAATGATAGAAATGCCCAAGAAAGGGCCCAGAGAGAAAGGTAAGACCACTCAGTCACAACTCTACCAAAGTCAGATGACCTGATATGGTTGACATGTTCACCAAATTGGCTGAGGCTATGGTTCTCCCGACCAGCAAGGCCTGGTGACAGTCCCATTCATTATACTAAATCTGTCAAAGGGCCCTTTGAAAAGCATGACCTGTATAATCAGTACCTTTAGTCACTCTTCTGACCAGAAAATGGACCCTCCGACTACAGTGCAGAAAAATGACTTAAAAATTTCCATTTTTTTTTATCATAATAAATCATCCAAATTCTTTGATTGTTATATATAATTTTAAGTTTTAAATAAATTATTAACATAATTAACCCCTTTCCCCCTATGCTTTACTGGCCAAGGCCTTATTAAAACAAAAATTTGACAAATGGGAATTGAATTCTGCACGATTCTTTTTTTCCAATTTCTGTAGTATATATGATTTATAGTTTCTTGGATGAACAACAAGGGCACTGTATGATTCAGGTATCTGTTAAGTGTGTCATGGCCAGAGTTTTTTAAAATTCTCAATTTTTGTCCGCTGCAATGAAATTTTATCGAAAGGAATAAAACTTAGTTTTTTTTTTTTTTTAAAGGTATAATGCATTTTTAAATAATTTTTTTTCTCTACTATTGTGTTGAAATTCCTCTTAGATCCATATGCTCATTTATTTTTTTATGTCCCTATATGTATAACTAGATAAAAACAATTAATCCTAAAATTTTTTTTTAAAGTGAAAGAAAGATAACAATCAAATAATTCAAAATTCAATGACTTTTTGTAATAATTTAATTTTTTGACTTTTTTTTTTAAAAGTAATTTTCCTACTTTTTTTTTAAAAAACCTGATCCAAAAAGCTAGATAAAGGAGAAAATATAAACTAAAAGATGACATCATTGATAAATGTTTTTTATTTTAGTTCTTTTAATTCCTTCAATACAAGTTGTGATTTTAAATTAATCATTTTTTTCCCCCAGATGGTGATTTGTCAATAGGTTTTTTTAAAATAGTCTGTTAAAGTTCTATTTTGTCCAGTTATAGTAACTAACTTATTTATAAATTCTCCTTTTTTATCAGAAGTACATCAAAAAAATGATTTTCAATATCAACTTCCATTTTTTAGTGAATTGTACTTTCTATTCTTTTTGTAGCACGAGAAGGAACTTTCATTCAATTACACATACCCCCATGTTACTGATGATCCAATTTACACAATGACTACAAAAAATTTCATCAGCAATGGGACCAGGAAAATTCAGACACACCATCAGATTTAATTAACTTTAGAAAATTTCTCATGTTCTGGATCATAATCACTGGGAGTTTTATGTTTGCAACTTTTAAGTTACGAAGTTGGTAGAAATTAACAGGGTTGACTGAGAGCATATCAAGTGCTGTGAAATGGAGAAATTGTATTTCCATGTTGCGACTCCGGAATAAAATAATAATTTCCTCAGAACAGAGACTCCATCAATAAACAGAGTGAGCCCCTATCTCCGGGTTGTGTTTGGAAACTTCTGACAAATTTCCACCTTTGATTGAACATCTTCCACCTCCCTTTAAAGACAATAATCCATTACCAACAATGTGCCAAAGCAACAGAACTTTCCCTTAAAATTTTTTTGAACAATGTAAACAGATGAATTTACTTGTATTAAAAAAAAGCATTTTAACTTTACTTCATGCATTTTAGGGTTCAGGTTTTACCATGTTTAAAAAAAAACTGAGGTGTGAGGCATAAAATACAGCTGTAAGCATTTGGGGAAAAAATGGCTAATTTCAGAAATCAATAAATCATAAAAGAAAGGAAATTAGATCTTTTTTCTGCAGAACATTTAGCCCTATTCAGCAGTTCTGTGAAGAATAACAAAAGGATGAGACATCTTGTTGGATTACTAATCAGCATAAATTTTTGTTTGGGATCACTTAACTGACCCCCATAATGCACCAGCAAGAAACATCTAAAACATGTACCTTAGGATGTTTATAGTTTGACACTGCTGCAGAAACTAATGGAAAACCAATCTAATGCTACATCTACGGGGTTTTGGCTGTGTTAATTGGTTCTGTCTGCTTAATTCATTTATTTTTTTCTTCTTCTCTCCCACACTTTGCTACACAAGCCAGAATGTTGATAAAAATGCCTTCCTCTAAAAAAAATCCTCTACAAAAACCAAAATGTTTTTAAATGATCCCATCCCACTTATGAAAACATTTCCCCTTTTTTTTCCTTTATTTTTCTAAGAAAAAAGGGCTCAAACCAACCCCCCCCCCCCTCCACAACTTAATCGCAGTACATCATAATACTGTTGTTGGTAGGGAAACCTGTTGTCACCCTACTGCAGCGACAAGCAATAAGTGTTTATATGGAAGTCGGAAGTTGCCTTTTCAATCATCAATCTCCTTAGGCATTGACATCACTCTACCAAACATTTGGCAAGAGGACCAAGGACAAATAGTTAAACATGTTTGTAAGTTACTGACACCAATAAGGCACCTAATTACAAGCAGTTAGGGGTGATAACGCTCCCAACCTGCCTTCATGCTGTTATTATCTGTATACTCTTGTGCATGTGGATCTAATGAGACAAAGATCTTGTGGTTTTATTGCCTTACTAACTTGTTTTCCACATGATTCAAAAACTTTGGCCCTTTTAAACGCATTCTTAACAAGAATGCATAAAAAAGGGACCAATCCTCACTCAGTTTTGATAGGGTTTGCTGATTTTTAGATCCTTTTTTTTTTTCACAAATCTTGTAGGTTTTAACATGTTTATGTGGTTGGAGGATATAAGTGTATATGCACTTAGAGGATAGCAATGTTCATTAAAGAGAATGGAAATTAAATATAAATAAATTTTTTTAAGTACAAGGAAACTCAATTGTAAAATAAGTAGATTATAAAATATAAAGATTATGGGAGTGCGAGTGGGCAATCTGTTGATAAGATCTTTTTCATTCCCTTTGTCTCAAGTTTACATATTGTGTAAAATCTTTATCATCTTGTCATTTGTATCCTGTTTTTTTGATCCTCAGCAAACCAATATAATAAATAAATTTTTTAAATTTTAAATGACTAATTACATTTAGTTCTTTATACATGCCTTTATACATTGCTGAGCATTTTATTTTTCTAATATTTTCTTCAGCTGGGGTGGTGCAATTAAGTTTACACCTTGATTAAACTTGTAGTTTTCAGATTTAATTGTGAATTTAGAAGGTTTATGTCTTTTTAATATTTACTAAATCTTATAAAATTTTCCTTAAATCAAAATTTCACTCCAGTCTTCTCAATTATGGCTATAAACAGTCTTAATTTTCAGATCTCAGGGACTTTTTACTTTATACATGTTGAATTCTGCTTATCACAACAAGCCATCTTGCTGGGAGAGATGAAAAAAATCATGATTTTGGGTCTTAATCAATAAACACTTTACTACTCAGTTTCAAATTATAAAATTTTATTATCTCATTCTTTAAATTTATTGAAATCTCAATGCAAAAACTAAATTAGATTTGAGAAAAATGGGGGCTCTTCAGATCATCTCAAATTTGAAATTTTTAAAAATGTTTTTAAAAAAGACGAACTTATGAAATGATTTGATTCCTTGCCAGGGAACAGGTATAAATACTTTGTTGAACTCCTTTAGCCATCCTAAATTTGCTAATTTGTTCAGACTTGTGAATATTTTACCTAGAATTGCAAATTTGTTGAAATTTCCCATTTTTCACTTAAATGAATTTACAGGAAAGCCATTAATTTAATTCATACATTACGCATTTCATTAACATTTTTTTTTTTTAGATAAAGAAATGTGTATGCAAATATTTACTGAAATAATTTATGAATTTTGGCATTTTTAAACTTTTAAAATTTTGTAAAAAAAAAAAATTCACTCCCCAAAATAAATTGTGGTGCAAAAAATTATGGCTGTGAACTATATTCACAAAGGAAATTATCTTTATCTTACCTTCTCTGAGCATGCCCACTGGAGACATTTTTTAAATCTGCATGCCTGGCAAGCCTTTCGCCTTCTTTTGGTAATTTCACAGTCACCATTGGCAGGGCAAGAATATTCAATATTTCCTAAAAAGAGATAATAGCATAGATTAAGTAAAATAAACTTTTTCTATAGAACAGCCAACTTGTTTTTGTTAAAATTGAAAAATTCAAATTTTTATAGACACTTGGAAAATTTCAGTATTTATTAGAAATTAAAATTTTAAAAATTTCTTGTTCTAACTGTACAAATTGTATAATGCATCTCTGACTCTGTAGCAAGAAATTTGCTACAGCACTCAGTTTACTAATATCAGTGTCTGACTTGAAGTTCACACAGTTTAAAGAAAAATGATAAGGTTAGTGAGACAGCAAAATAGTTCTTAGGTTGCCAACAGTTAACTATCTGTCATCCTTTAATTTTAAAATTAATAAAATAGGCAATTTAACTAGACAAATACAAAGCATTGAAATCCACAGGGATTCATTGTCCTGCTACTCAGGATTCCCAAGTGTTTTATACATCATATGTATATACATGTCTCCTGAGTGTGTCTTGGTTTGCCATGAAATGTATTAGCTTCCATTGTGTGGGGCAGAAATCATATCTTTATGTACCTTAAACAATGTGTAAATACATACATGTAGTCAACATTTTTTAATCTAAATAGTTCATTTCTGAGGTATTGCTTTATTTGCAAACTTGATTTTAATGATATAGTACTACCAGTTAACTGTTACTTTAATACGTACAGAGAGCCAAAAGCAAGACTTTCTATGCATACACTTCACAGAAAAGTGCATATAAAATACCACAGATGAATGCAAATGGACAATTGTACTAATCAGAGATGCCAACTTCCAGATTTCTGAAATGCTTCAAAATTGGTATTTATTTGCATTAAATGATTTAAATCAATCTATACATTGTACTTATGCAAATTGAAACATCAATTAAGATTGTCTCCTGTCTCTAGAACTGAACTTTCTACATTATAAAGAAAGGAAGTTTGGGGGTGTGATACAATCAAAATGGCCCGAATTCATCATTTGTCAGTCTGTCTAGCAATATATTAGGTGCCATCAGATCCCATAAATATTCTCTTATACCCATAATACCACAAGGACAACTTTTAATAGTTTAAGTGGGTTGCTCTAATTTTATTAGTCATTTTAGGCTATATATAGTAACAATTCAATAAATATAAAGTTTTGACAGTTTTAATATGATGGAGCATAAATCTGCCATTTTTTTGGGCTATTATGATAAGATTAGTCCTTAGTACTCAAAACTATATTGATATTTACCTGGTAACCCAATTTTTTATACAGTTTTCATAATTTTTCATGACCAGTTAAAACTGGATCATCAAATTTGAATTAATTTTTTTAAAAGTAAACTTCTTACTGTGGTACACTGTTTAATCCTTAAAGGATTAATGCCCTCCAATGATTTCAGGATTACCGGGGTTTAGTTTCCGAATAGATCTTCAGAAATTAATTGTAACTATTGGGATTTCCCAAATTTTAGAGACAAGACTGATTTCCAAATAAAGGTATATCGGGATATATGTATATACCATCAATTCTTTTAATTATAGATCAAATAACAGTGATGCGGGGGTCTATGCCATAGACATGTTTTTTAATATCCAGCATACGTAGGGATCATACGGTTTGTGCGTACAAGGGCTATTTTTAGAAAAGAAGTTTTCTGTTTTACGTCATCCCATTCAGGCTGTGAAGCAGAGGTTTCCTTGTCAGAAACAATTAAAACAAAGCAGGCTGGGATAACTCTTCTGATTAGTCTTATCTGCCAAAAATACACACAACCAATTTGTATCAAAATGTCAAAAGAATCACCCCCCCAAAGATAACAAGTATGAGCCTGTCTTTTTTTTTTTAAATTTTTGTTACTCTGCTGCATTAAGCCCTTATTGCTACATTTCACAGAGGGAGGCATACCCAATCTCCAAAAACAAACGGTGGAATGTAAATTGACTTCCTACAACAGAAGACCTATGCCAAAGTCATCAATATTTAATCCTTACATCTGGTAGTGACATTCCAGGTACAAATGTCCTATTTTTTTCTTAATCCTAACAAATCAATCACCTACAATTAAGACATATCATTTTCCCCCCAAAGAGATGTCATTTTATTGGCCACATTGACACTAACAATTTGTTTTTAACAGCAGTTGTCTTTTTAAATTTTGTTAATTAAATGCTTTATAAATGCCCATGCCCACCAATCAATTCGTCCCTATTGGCAGAGTCTAACAATATATATAGATAAACTGATTTTAATACCTGGCTCATTGTTCATTCTACTGAGTCGCAAAACAGATAAGTATTGATTACTTCCATCCTGTTGGATTTTTCTGATGGAAAAGTAGCAGACTAAACAACAACCACAAAAGTGTAATTTAAATTCAGTACTTGTCCAAGTGTACTCAGTTTTCAAATTAATTTTTTTTTTTTTTTCTATGATTTTTTGGGAAACAAAATTATGGGAAAGCTTTAGCAACTGAATAATGAATTAGGCATAAAAGATCAATAAATAAGTTTCCCCCCCCAACCATTGGCAGGCAATGCCTGGTAGGTCTTGGGTGGGTCATACAAGTCACTAGCCTTTTATATAAGGGGAGAAGCCAAATAAATTTATGTGGCACCCGAAAAGATTTATGTAAAAGTGCTCTTTTAATTTGTATCCATATAAATGAATTCCCAGAATTCTTTTTGTACAAAAAATATATTACTGTATATATTTAGAATTAAATTTAATGTGCATGGCCAAAAATATTTTGAAAATAAACTATCAATGTTATGCAATCTGATTTAAAACAATTTTTACAACCAAGTAAAAATTTTCCTGCAAGTCAAACCTTTTTCAAGGTCCTTGGGGCTATTTTTTTTCCCAAAACTATGGAAAAACCAAATAATCCAAATCCCTTTAAAAAAATATAAGGGACAGATTCACTGAAAGAATTTTAAAATAAAGTGACATTTTTCTTGAGGAGTATTTCTATCTAGCTTCAAAAGTTTTTCAAGTAATGTAATTAAAATGCTTAATATCAAAAACAAGCCCATTATCATTGAAATTTCATGGATGAGTAATGCACCTAAGGCATATTTTCCCAAAAGGGTTTAGCACCTTTTTTCTCTTTGATAAACAAAAATTCCTGGAAAGTATTGTACAAGAATTACAGAGGGGTGAGGGTTATACAAGCTTCATTAAACAGTGGGGAATGTAATAAAGCCTGCCTAGCATTCACATCTTTTCCTAGAACACAAAAGCAGCACTACCAAATGAGTGAAATTGTTTACACTTACTGTGAAGATGGGCAATTTAAAAAACAAACCCATCTGTCACATTACTTAGTTTTAATGAAGAATGAACAATAGCAATTACTTCAAATAAATTCAAAATAACCGATTTCAATCCCCAAAATAACATTGGCAACATCTCAAGAAACCTCTGTAAGATTGGGAGCTTCTGTTTTCCAGATGAAGCAAACCCGCAACAGTACTGCAACCTTTCCAACCACCAGTCCAAATAGTGCTAGCAATGAAACCCTAATGTTGGCTTTAAATTTGCACCTAAAACTACCTGGTGCATTTTTCAACGATAAACTGTTCCCTCTTTTTGATTTTCAGATTGATTTTATACCACCTTGGCTTTCCCCATAATAGTTCTCGTTTACACACACATAAAAACTTTGGACGACTTATCTATTAACCTTAACAATCACATGTAACCCAGAAATTCATACCATTCCATTTACTTTTGTCCCTCCCATGAAAAACGGGGATTCTTGAAGTAGTGATAAATGATTTGGGCAATTGCCTTGACCCCACTTGTAATCAAAACATAATGTAATTCCAGTCTCTTTAAACAATAAGGGCAAGTTCAGACCTTTTTTCACTGGATATTTATCACTACTATAACAAATATTGAGCAGAATGCTTTTTTGAATTTTCTACCTGTAAAGGTAAAAGAAACAATGTATAGGGAAGGTTTATTGGTACTTTTGTATTGATTTGAAGTCTGCAGATAGACTATTTATTCTGGTCCCTTTAATTTTAAAAGGTAGTTTGGTCAAATGAAGATTTCATGTATGTGCAGGAAATTGCTCTGTTTGTACAACTACTATTCTAGTGAATTGTGACTTCTAGCCTATTGACAACTGCCAAATATGCTTTAATGAAATCCAAGATTGCTATCATTTTCTGCCCAAAACATTACCCATTGCAGCACAATTATGTCAAATTAATACATGAAGCTAAATTCCCTTTTTAAATTCCCGTAATTTGAGAACCTATTGCATAAAAATAATTGAAAAAGATACAAACTGAGACACAAAAAGTAATGCTTAAAAATAAGAAAAAAAAATTTTTCAGCCATATATAAATATTGTTGCTTGACCCAAAACCTTAGTACAATGTTTTAAATGAAAAAGAATTAAATGTATAAAAGTCCAGTTTTAAAAACTCCAAAAATCCATTCAAATCTTTGACCCCAGTTTAACTCTTTGAAAAACAAGTTGTTTACATAACCTGAAATAGGACAACATTTTATCCCAAATTAGAATGCTGAAAGATATTGGCTAATAAAGACAAAGATACTTAAGAAAATTTTTTAACATTATCTTCCTCAAGTAACATTATTAACCTGGAATTGAAAGACATTTAAAAAATTTTCACCCAAAAAAAAATTTTTTTTTCCTGGAAAACCCCCCCCCCCCCCCCCCCCCCCCGAAAAATTTTTTTTTTAATTTTTAAAAAAAAGGGGGTATTCTTTTTTTTACATTTCTTCTTGTCATACCAAATTTTATTCATTTTAGGTGATTTTTATACCAGAATTTTATTTCCGACACCACCATTTTGACATTTTTACAGAATAATGTGAAGCAATAGATTATATAGTGTCATAAATAAAACAATAAAATTAAAACTCATTCATATTTATATCACCTATTTGAATTTCAAGTAGCCTT